ATATATATATATATATATATATATATATATATATATATATATATATATATATATATATATATATATATATATATATATATATATATATATATATATATATATATATATATATATATATATATATATATATATATATATATATATATATATATATATATATATATATATATATATATATATATATATATATATATATATATATATATATATATATATATATATATATATATATATATATATATATATATATATATATATATATATATATATATATATATATATATATATATATATATATATATATATATATATATATATATATATATATATATATATATATATATATATATATATATATATATATATATATATATATATATATATATATATATATATATATATATATATATATATATATATATATATATATATATATATATATATATATATATATATATATATATATATATATATATATATATATATATATATATATATATATATATATATATATATATATATAATTTTATTTTATTTTTTTATTTTTATTTTTTTTTGCATAATATAAACTGAAAGTTACATTTTCAAACAGGTTTATGTTCATGTTTAACCTCTAGGGCTTAGTGTCCACATATGTGGACAGCACATTTTAGCTCTTAAGTGGCTATTTAAAATACTTTGAATGTTTAATATTTTGTTACAGACATACAGTGTCATTCTGCAACTCTTTTGCAGCATATAAAATGCCCCAAACGCAATTTTCAACTGTCCAAAATGAGGGAAAAAATGTTGTTTTTACTCTCTCATAGTCAAAACATGTTTAAAAAAAATGTATATGTTATATATGCATTAGAAACAGTCAGGAAAAACTGTTTAATTTAAATTCAGACCACGAGTCCACATAAATGGACATCATTTTCCTCTAAAAGTACATCGTATCAAAAGATGATACTTAGACTTTTATTCTAATTAGGTTCCAAATAATGCATTAAAAAATAAAATAAAATAAAAAATCTGGGGCCTTAAGAGGTTTAAATACAATACAACAATTTTTATTTAATTTTTTTACACCAGACGTGTTGAGAAATCAGTGTGTGGTGGAAAAATAAAACTTTTTTATTAGTTATTTAGTCATAAATAAACCATAGAAAGATAAGTAATTTATTCAATCTCCAAAGTCATTCAGGTCAAAACTGTCGAAAAAAGACAAACCAACATTCATGAAATGCTTAATAAACACTGCATGTATACAGTCAAGAATTAGTAGTTATCACTGTATGATGTGCACAGCATTTTACATTCTCAGAGTGTTTTGGTGCGGTTTGATGGTTTTAAATGTGTTGCAGAGTTGGGTTTAATGTGTTACACATTAATAGCATTATGGTTTTATTTAGTTTTTAGCCTCTGGATACCTTGTTCTGCTCTCTATCTCAGTGTGATTCTAAGTGTAAAGCCCTTTGTGAATTAGGTTTAAAAGGCGGCGCTATATAAAAATAAATTATTATTATTATGTTATTGTGCCAGTTGTATGTGTCAACGATTTGTAAATGCCTAAAATATTAAAGAAGAATGTGAATAAAGGGATGTAAAGTCTTTTATAAGATTTATCAGTCAATATTTAAACATCGAAAGAAATGCAATTTTGACTTTGTGGTGCTGTTTAGGTTTTGTGGCACTTTACAAGGTATCTTGAAAGTTATCTGATTACTTGTTGCATGCTTAAAAGTGATTATTTACTTACCCATTGCTTTAAAAGCGACACGTTGACTTTACCTAAAAAATTGAGTAAATCTGTTGCTTTTAAAGTGATTAGTTGACTTTTCTTTAAAATGTGAGTAAACTCACTGCCTTAAAAGCGACAAGTTGACGTTACTTAAATTCAAGAGTTCACTTAGATATAGCTTGACTTAGCAGGTTTGGCATGCTGTCCCAAGAGAGAACCCTGAGCTCAGAGATAATGTAAGCAGGTAAGGGGCTTCGAGATCAGGCAGGTCTCAAGAGCTCCCCCTGGTAGAGGAGGAAAAGGAGGAGCTGGGGTAGAAGGGGGGATTCTTTCGAAAATGAAGATAAGGTAGTAAGGCAAAATCAGTCTATTTATTGTAGACCTGGATCAATGTGATTGGATAATTACTGATTACAGATGAGAGACCAGCCGTTATCAATCATATCATAACTTCATTTTGATAATTAAGCACATGTTCATTTACTTCTAAATTTTAAGGCAAGAAGTTTACACACTTTGTAAGGAAAGTCAACCAATCGTTTTAAAAGCAACAGGTTTACTAACTTATTTCTCACTTATCGTAATTATTAATGTAATCAGATTACATTTTTGAGTAGTTATTAGTCATTTGTAATCTGTTACTTTATTGAGTTGTAACTTACCAAACACTCGTGGTTTGTAGTTTGAAACAGTTTTAGGTACATTTATGTATCATTAAAGCGATATTTCATGCAAACATGATAACTCTGTCATCAATTACTCACCCTTCATTTGTTTAAAGACTATTTAAGTTTTTTCCTGTTGAACACAAAAGAAGATATTTTAAGAAATGCTAGTAGATGACACACACTGTGTCCAATAATATTTATGGAAGTCAATGGGCGACCAGCATTCTTCAAAATATCTGCAAATAATCTATTTTATTCAAGATAATGGATTCAAAATAATATTTTGTATTTAGAAAAGGAAGAGTAAATGATGCGGTAATTACACATTTTGGGTGAACTGTCCCTTTAAATACAGAGCTAAAACAGTCTGTTTGTTGGTGTTAACTTACAACAAAAAAATATCTACTAAAATGAAATAAAATTCAAATATGCGTTTAACACTTGCAAATTAGCTGCAATCGTTTCATATTTTAGCACAAAATGTTGCTGCATGTTTTGTTTGCCTGAGCTGGAATCGCACTTTATTTGGCAGACTTCACTGTGGAGCTCTTCAGAAATCAACTGTGCGCAAAAATATTGACAAGTGTCCAGAAATAGAGAGAGAGATTGCTGTTGGAAACTTTTATTGGCTTGGCTTTTCTCTAAGCATCAATGGGCCTGTTTCAGAAATGTTCAAATATTTGACATATCCGGCTTGACCTCCGCCGCCGACCCTCGAGATAAACCGTCCTCAAATCACCACAGGATTTACTTTTTCTTAAAAGCAAACCGTGTTCTCTAAGCGGCACTGTAGCTAAGTGTTTACCACTGCGGCCTTAAAACAAGAAGGCCGCTGGTTCGAGTTCTGGCTGGTTTAGTTGGCATTTCTGTGTGGAGTTAGCATGTTCTCCCCATGTTGGTGTGGGTTTCCTCCGGGTGCTCCGGTTTCCCCCACAGTCCAAACACATGCGCTATAGGGGAATTGAAGAAACTAAGTTGGCTCATATATGCTGAATAAGTTGTCGGTTCATTCCACTGTGGCGAACTCTAATGAATAACAGGACTAAGCCTGTGTTCTCTATGTGTTCTCTAAAAGACAGACATGAATGGATTGCTCGGTTACGGATAAACAGTTTAACGCTGGCCTTGTTGCTATTTGCTCTCTGTCTCACACACAAATACTGATTTCCTCACATTCGTGAGGCTTACGAGAAAATTAAAGGAACAGATCCTATTTTTTTAAAATAGGGTCATTTCACACTTAAACTTTTTTGATCCATTCAGCCGATCTCCAGGTCTGGAGGCAACACTTTCAGCTTAGCTTAGCATAAATCATTAAATCGGATTAGACCATTAGCATCTCAATAAACAAAAAAATCTAAAGTTTCAAGACTTTTGATGAATTTTCTATTTAAAGCTCGAGTCTTCTGTAGACAGATGACAAATGAAATGCTGCCATATTCTACGCCAATAGGAACTTTACTTTAATTCTAGCGTGATAACCAGGGAACTTTGCTGCCATGTGATTGGCTGATTAGAAACTTGCATTATCGAGCAGTTGAACAGGTGTACCTAATAAAGTGGCCGGTGACTGTAAACACATTATTACCCAGTACTGTTTTCAGGACTATTCTCAGGTGCTGCGTAACATCACCTGCTGCAGTCATGGTATAAATATCCTCATTCGTTTTCTTTTCGGCTTTGCTAGAAGGGATACAGCTGTGGTTGCATGTTAACGAGAAGTTCATTCATTCATTTTCTTTTCGGCTTAGTCCCTTTATTAATCTGGGGTCGCCACAGCGGAATGAACCACCAACTTATCCAGCATATGTTTTACACAGCGGATGCCCTTTCAGCTGCAACCCATCACTGGGAAATGGTACAAATATTTTAAGTATTTATTTGAATTACTTATCCTTAGAAATGGAATTATCTTATAATCCAATTTTAACACATTTTAAACAATATTTTCAGTAAATAATTGCTAAAAATTAATTAATTTTGTCTTCTGTTTAATAGAGCAGTTAAAAATCTGAATTAGTTTAATTAGGCAAGTTAGATTCATTAGGCAAGTCAATGGACAACAGTGGTTTATTCTGTAGACAATCGAAAATAATCATTTCTTAAAGTAGGCTAATGATATATATTTTTATATATATTTATATCTAATTTTATATATATATATATATATATATATATATATTTATTTATATATTTATTTATTTATATATATATATATATATATATATATATATATATATATATATATATATATATATATATATATATATATATATATATATATATATATATATATATATATATATATATATATATATATCTATATATATATAT